GGGAAAGAGAGTGGAGATAGTCTGAGAGGGAAGGGCCATGCTTGAAACTGGCTTCACAGCGCCCCCTGTAGAAGCGAAATGTAAGGAAGCCATTGACTGACTGAGATATGGCCCTGACTCTTGCTGAGCTGGGAAATAAACAGAGAGCAAGACAGAAGGAAGGAGAAAGGTACCATGAGAGATAATACAATGCTGTAAGAAGGCTAGGAAATAGAAATTCGGAGCCCTCTTACTTAAATCAGGACATTTCCAAAAAGTGCCAAAGACTGTCCTTTGGAGTGATAGGACTTAATTATTTTAATTATTAGCTTGCACAAACTTTCACTGGTTAATTTTTTTTTTTTTTTTGCTAACATTCTTCTCTGACTCATGGTACATATTTTTATTACGTATTTTATACTGGTTTTATGTGTGAAAGCCCCACTAATGCACCTAGAATGTGGCACATTGAATGAGCTTCAAATATTCTGTAGACTCCTACTCTATAATTAAGTGTGGTTTAAAAAGGAACATACATACTCATGCTGATAACTTGTTCTTAAGATGTCATTATCATTGGTTGTCACTGGCAGTTAGTCATTTTTATTAGATATTAATATTCACAGCCTTTAAAGTATTACAAGTCTCTAGCTTAAAAATGGGAAAGAGAAGAGAGCTTAGATTATTTGGCTTTGCCTCCCAAGACATGGGTTGAATTTAAGCTGAAAACCATACAATTTCAACTTTTGCTATTTTCCAGGCTACTGATAGCTCAGATTAACTCCAAAATCATCTTACAATATGAAGCCAGCTTAGTCAATGAAATTGTAATTTTGATTTAAAAAATACTTAGATGCTGTCAAACACTGATCAACATCATCTGAACAAACAACCATCAAAAAAAATGAGGCGAATGGGGAAATTTGAATACTGACTGGATAATTTATATTAAGGAGTTATTAATTTTTACATGAGGTAATAGTATTGTGTTTATGTATTTTTAAAATTTATTATCTTTTAGAGATATAAATGGGGGGGAAATGGATAGGAGTGAAACAGAATTTGCCATGTAGTGATAACTGTTGAATCTGAGCAATGCTTATATGGGCGTTCATTATACTTGTTCTACTTTTTTGTTTGAACTGTTCTTCATACCAAACTGTAAAAATCTGATCAGAACTTTTGCTTCTATTTGTGAATTTAAAAAGACCAGCCTAACCCAGAACAATTCTAACGCTTTAAAGTTTATCCTTTCAAAAAGGGTAATACCAGTAGGAAATCAAGTCTGTAGCTCTCACAATGCTTTTTAAATGCATATACCATCTCTTAAAACCTTTATACCTAAGCATCTACTTTGTGCCATCTGTGAATTTTATGATGACCTTATGGGTACAGATCCCACCAGGGGACCACCAATAGAGGCTGAGGCTATGGGGAATTCAGATCTGAATGAACATAAGACATCTTTATATGCTCCTGGTAGGTTAGGAAAATGGCCCAGGTTGATTAAAGGTCAAGTAGGGATTTTGGTCACACCAATGGATCGGGTGATCTGTGAATAAACAGGCACCCTAGAAACTGGTAGTGAGAAGGCAGTGCAGCATAATGAAAATTTGAACATAAGCCAATCATAGATTCATTTCTTGATTCAACCAATTAATAAATGTGATCTTACTAAACATTACAGAGTCTCAGTTAACTCATATAATTCCCCATATAATAGGGGGCTGTTGGGGATTAAATAAAATATGTGAAATATGAGGAAAGTGTTAACACAGCAGGTCTGGTTGTTTGGTCCTTGTATGTCAAGGGGACCAGGAACCATGATTTGACCATTGGCCAACCCTGTGGGAATGTTCGTATGTTAATGGTTGGTGATCATGTTTTGTACACCTGATTGCTTTGCACAAACATCAACATTGACGATGTGCATCTGGTTTCATTGTTGGGATCCTGAGTTTCACTTGCCATGGCTGGTCATGTAGCATGATATACCTATGGGACCAGCTCTCAATAAAAGCCTCAGATGCGAAGGCTTCCCTGGGCAGAGACATTTTGCACATGTCCCTCTAGTTTGTTGCTAGAGAGATAGCATGTCCTAGGTGGCCCCAGATGGGTAAGTACTCAAAAGCGTGTGTCCAACCTCTCTAGGTTCCTCCTGATAGAGGTCTTTTTCCTGTTGCTCTTGGGCTGTATATTTTTGCTCTAATAAACCTTAGCCATGGGTATAACCTGCTTTCGAGTCTTGTGAGTTCTTTTAGTAAATCAGCAAAATTGAGGGGAGGGTGGCCTTCAGACTCACAAGACATAAAGAGACCAGTACAATGGCTGGCAAATAGTACACATTCAATATATGCTAGCTATGGCATTTGACTTATCCTGCTATATGTTACAGGGGAGTAACCTCACTGTACTAGAATATAGGCTGGGACTCCAGGACTTTGTCTGCTTTTCTCAACCATGCCCTTGGAAGAAGGAAAGGATAACCTCTCATCAGTGGGGAAGTTAGAGAATATAACTCCAAGGTTGTTCCCTGGCCTCCCACCGGTGCCGATTCAGAGTGGGAAGGTACCATGTGAAGAAAATGGGTAGGTATCAGACCTCCAACTGGGACATTTTGAGAATGCGCAACAGGGCAAACTGTTTTTTTTTTTAAATCATTTTGAAGGATAACAAAAGGAATGAAAAGCCTTGTTGAGAGTTATGAAGACTAGAACACTTAGACTAACATCATGGCACTCCAGGTGTGGGTGCTGGAGGCTGGACCCTTACTTTGGTAGCAGTCACAGGAGGCAGTGGTGTTAGAAATGACCGTCAGGAGTTTCCCCAATGCAGCCAGAAGCAAGCACACAGAGCCATTTCCACCAAGCACTGGGCACTACAGAAAGACAGTCTTAAACTGTGAGGACTGTATGTAAACATGAAAAAAATAAGGTTAATTGGGTTGAGACTTCAATTGAGGGCTAATCCAAGGGAAAAAGGAGTCCAGGGTACCCATCTTGCAATTCCTTTCTATATTTATGTGTGTGTGTTTATGGTTCCCATCCAAGCGACCAGATCTAAATAAGATACCTCAAAAGAGCTTTATGCCTCTAAAATGCAATAATAATTACAATAAAATCATTTGTTATGTCATGCATTTAATTACTATTTTTCAAGTAAATTGCCTCCAAGATGGATAGGTCTAACCTCAGTAGTGATCCCAAGTGGATTTTCCCTCTATCAGTGTCTTAAAGGATGGTGAGCATAAAACAGTTGGTATAAGTTTGTTTCTTCATGGGTGGTTTTAATTTTTATTGAGCCCTTAATTATTTCATGGGTGGTTTTATAGATGACTTCCTTGCATTTTATGTTGCAGATAATGGTTATCTCCTTGTCACTGTCACCATCACTGTAGTATGTCATCATATCACTGTCATTCGCATTGCCACAGAGTGCATTGTGTCTGGAATCTATCTTATGAAAGGACTTGGAAAAAGGCTTCAGTTCGCGTGGAAAAGGTGGGTTTTGAGATTTCTTCTTCTTCGCCTCTGAAATATTATTGACGAAAAACTCAGAAGCAGCTCTGCAAACAAGGCATTTTTCCTTGTAGCATAGACAAGACTTGACTGGTTGAGGCCTAGATAATATATCTGCCCTACCTGCACTAACTGACCTCTTTAGAATAGGATGTCTGTGGCGTTTGGTGAGTTTCTGTAAACTGAATGGCTTGGGCAAGCTTTGATTTTGTGGATAGGGTGAACAAGGGGTTTTGGTTGGCCTGACCAGATATTGTAGACTGGCTAGTCAAGGTGGCCTGTTGGCCTTATTGGGATAGGATGAACTGACTTGATTGACTAGCTTATGGGCATGAGCCTGCTTACGTGCCTTTTCTAGACTGCGTTTCTATGTGACTTTTCCTGGTGGGATGATCTGAATACTTTTTTGGGACTTGATGGCTTACATGACTTTTCTTGACTCAAAGGCCTGATTAACTTTTCTGTACTGGATGGTACGGATGCCTTTCCTGGACTTGAGAGCCCAGATAGCTTGTCTATACCAGATAGCATGGATTGTTTTTCTGGACTGCACAGACTAACTGTCTTGGAGTCACTGAATGATATTTTGGATGACCTGGATGACTTAGCCATTACACCTTCTTTCTTGACCCTGAAAATATAGAAAATTTGGAGTATGACAATTTAAATCAAAAGAGTACTATTGCTATCACCAGAAAACACAGGCTATTGTGTCATTTTAGACTTCTGGTCTTTTTTTGGCTCTAGCAGGAAAATTGAACACAGTAAGAATTGGAGTGTGGTGAAAGCCATGACTCAGGTTACAGATATGAACATATGTTGAATGCTTTTCCTTTTTCTTAATTTTACTGTTTCAACCACAGTTCATAACCATATAGTCTACGTATGGAATGACACAAAATTGTTTCAAATCTACTGTTGAGAGGGAGAGAGATAATTTTATTTATTCCAGAAATTAAACTTTTTATAAAAAAGTCACAAGTTGATATGCAACTGAGGCACAAATGTCACAACTTGTCACGTATAAAAAAAAAACACTCTTTAGACCAAATTCATTGTTTTCCTATCATATTTACACCATCAAACTTTCTCTCCATGCATATTTATATTCACAATATTCCTCTAAAACCAAAGGAATGGAGCACTGGTATATTTTAGTCATCTGTCCTTGGATTGGGAAAGGTTTAGGGAACTAGTATATCAGGGCCAGCCTGATCCTCCTATATGAAAGCCAGGGACTGAGATCACTGAACACAGTTAATCATTTTTCATGTTATTATATCTTAAAACGGTAGATTATCCAAAATGTTTTATTGTCTTTGGAATGCAGAGACCCAGTGCCTTCTCTCTCCCCTTTTTCATTCTGTCTTATTCAGATAGTCATTCCCTCTTTTCCTAGACTCAATTTATAATGAAATTAGCAGCCTGGGTCTCAGCTGAACCCTGAATAAGGGACACCTTTGGCTAAAGTTGATAATGTACTTGAAATAATTTGAGCTGATATCATTTAAGTGAAGGTATCCACCCACAAGATGTTGGTAGCTCTTTTGAAGTCTAAAGTTAACATTAACTAACCATAACAACAACGAAAACTCCTACATGTATACACACACACACACACACACACACACACACACACACACACACACACACACACCTTGCATTCTTAATTCAAAGGTGTAAAACTTACGTCCCTGCTTTGGGGGCATCATCGCTCATAAAGTAATAATGGAGAAAGCAAAAACAGGTATAAACAAAAGCTATGATCATAACACCAATTATGATAATGAGTAGATGTCTCCTAAAATTGTCCAGTTTGGTCTCCATTGATTCACGGTGCTTGGCTCCTGTCAAAGAGATTGTATCACCAGAAAATGTGTCAGGTAACCAAGTTTCCTTCCACTTTGATGGTGGTTTGTCACTGTAGGTCAAAGTCAAATCTCTTCATCAATTATTTTTTAAGCATGATAAGTGTCCCACTGTTATTTTCTTCCCTCTATCAGGTCCCCAGCCACAGTCTAGAAGCCAAATCTGGGAGGTATCTCCGGCTAATGAGTATAATTACTTGGGTTATCCCTGCATCATGGCTTGCTCGACCCATTACCTAGGTTTTTGAGTGTGTGTGTATGTCTTGCATGTGTGAATGCACTTGAGTGTTAATGTATATGTGAATGTGTACGGTGGGAAAAGGGATAGGACAAGAAAAAGCCCTTCTCGGGCTTCCCTGGTGGTGCAGTGGTTGAGATTCCGCCTGCCGATGCAGGGGACACGGGTTCGTGCCCCGGTCCGGGAAGATCCCACATGCCGTGGAGCCGCTGGGCCCATGAGCCATGGCCGCTGAGCCTGCGCGTCCGGAGCCTGTGCTCTGCAACGGGAGAGGCCACAACAGTGAGAGGCCCGCGTACCGCAAAAAAAA